TGGTGGGAGTGCAGACTGGTGCAACCACTGTGGAAATCAAAAAACTAGGATTAGAGGTCCCATTTGACCCAGCTATTCCCCTGCTGGGTATCTTGCCTGAAGAATTACAAGAATCATAGGACAGTGATATATGTGTGCCCGTGTTCATAGAGGCTCCTTTTGGAAGGCTGGGACTCTCCCGGATATTCACCTGGACCCTTTGCAGGGCCATCCTAAGATAGAGTAGCTTCCTTCTGCTAACCAAGGTCGCCCGCCAGGTGGTTGTGTCATTACACTATGTCACAAAGTTCTGTGCTCATTGCAGGTCACGAGTCAGGATACAGCAGAAGACTGCACCCTCCCCCAGGTGATATTTCTATTGATTCTCCCGCTGTGTTCGGTATCTGGTTATACTTCACTTTATACTAGATGACTTCGTTGCAGAAATAAATTGACATTATTTTAATAGGAGGGAATCTTTGTTTGCTTGATACCAGACACCCGGGAATGCTAAATCCTTGGGTGACATGAGGCTGAACTACAGACCTTGTGTAGTTTCATTTTGGATCACTTTCCCTGTCATTTCGTTGTGGATCACTCTTACTCTGAAGGCACATCTCTTCCTGTTTCTAGCCTGAGGCAAGGTGTGTTTTCCTAGCTTCCCTCCTTTGATGGGGCCCAGATTCTCACTTTTGTCTCTCAGTCCTACAAAGCCACTGAAAGTGCAGCCCAGACTCTGCCTTTTTATAATTAGTAAATGTTCAAGAGCAAAAGCTATCCTTTTAGCTTTTCACAAGTCTCTAGGTTTCTGGCCTTTCCTGTTCTTAGCTCAGTAATTGCCCATGGTTTTGTTTACTTTGTGTTTTTCTTTAATTTTACGATATATAGTTAAATTATGTCCCGCATCTTTCTTAGTTGTCTTCCACAGGCAGTGGAATTTCAGAGTGCCCTTACTGCTCTGGCTGCTCTTTGTGTCACCTGAGGGGTCCAGCTTATACTGGAAAACAGATCGCTACCATTACCTGCATCCCACACACACACACACACACACACACACACACACACACACACCACACACACGAATTCTCCCACTGCTGGGACATCTCCCTTGCCTGCTTGCACTATTGTTCTGTTCTACTCCAGTCTACTCCAGTTAATGCAGTGTAGGCAGACCAGAAAATGAAAACCTAGTCTTAGAAGTGCCAGTAAGGCCAGGGATGGTGGCGCACGCCTATAATTCCAGCATCCCAGGAAGCTGAGGCAGGAAGAATGCTGTGAGTTTGAGGCCCCATCCTGGGCTACATAGTGAGTTCAAGGCCTGCCTGCACTACAAAGTGAGACCCTGTCTCAAAAATAAAACAAAAAAAGTGCCCGTAAGGAGATCATTTCCTTTCCTCTATTGCATCTCCATCTCCCTCCATGGAGAAGAGAGGTCGAGCAAAAATGAATGGAGAAAACTGCCTAGAAGTGCAACTGAAAAGGGATTGAGTATCTGTTGGATTTTTCAGTCACATTCTATGAACAAACCATATGTACCTATTGAATGCAAGGTGCTAGAGGAAACCCAAACGGGTGAGTGAGTCAGCCTGGGCCAATACAAAGGAAAAACCACAGTGATTTGAACCAAAAAGCTTCACATCTGAAGTACTGAGTTTAATAAAGAATTACGGAGGGATCTGGCTAGTAAGAAAGAAAACTGAAAGAATATACCAATTACAGCTGTAAGAAACAGGCACTGCTTTTAGGGCTGAGATAGGAGAGGAGCATACCGACAGGGGTTTCTAATATCAGGTAAAATAACTTAAGTGCTATAAGGGAGGCAGAGGTAATCTGCTGCGAGATCCTAGAAGAAGGACTCATTCTTACCGAGGATATAGGAAAGTGTCTTGGTGGAGGTCTTATTCGAGGAGAGGCAGTACTGGAGCAACTTTTGAGGGATGTGAAGAATTTCTGAATGTGATGGAGTTCGATGTAGACTGGCTGGAGTTGTGTGCATGTGCTATGGGGGCTGCCTGCAGATTGTAACTCAGAGCTGGGGCCACCCATATCTGTTGTCCCAGTTACTCAGGAGGCTGAGACAGGAGGATAGCTTGAGTGCAGGAGTTCAGGGCCAGCATGGGCAACATAAAGAGACTGTGTTTTAGAGAGATGTGAGAGAGAGAGAGAGAGAGAGAGAGAGAGAGAGAGAGAGGAAGAAGGAGGAGGAGGAGGAGGAGGAGGAGGAGAAACAGAGATACACACACACACACACACACACACACACAGAGAATAAAAATAGAGTCTGCCAAAAAATGTATACACACTTTAGGAAAATAAAAATAGTGTGATTTTTAAACAGATGGTGTTACTCTCCTAAGGGGGACCTTGGATGATGTTGTGTATCATGGAACATCCGTTACACTGAGGCCCTTAGAGAAAGAATTGAAAATGCATGTGCAGCAATCTCAATGACCAAGGTTACCCAAGCAGTAGTTTCTGTGTGGAAGCTGATGGCCACCAGTTTGAGCACCTCTTGTAATTGTAGAGGGCAAAGGTAGCTTGTGTTGATCTCATGATGTCTCAATAAATTTAGTATTAAAATGTTTATACAAGTTTTTCTTTTCCTGAAGTGTGCATACATTTTTGGTAGACTCTGTATTCTCTCTCTCATTCTCCCTCCCCCCCCCCCCCCTCCCCCACATCGTTATGCATCTCCAAGCCTCAGTTTTCTCATCTTTAAAATGGTACACTAATACCAACTTCTTATGGTGTTGAAGACCAGCTAAGATAAGACATATTAAATGACTTATGCCTTACTTCATGGAAGTTCGAAAATGTCAAACCGAGCTGTGTAGCTGAAGAACAGGCGATATGGCGGGATTAGTGGGCATCATTAAGGACATAGTGTATTTTTGAGATAGGGTCTCGCTATGCAGGCTGGCCTTGAAGTCACTATGTAGTTTAGGCTGGCTTCAAACTCTCGGCGACCCTCCTGCCTCAGCCTTCCGAGGGCTGAGATTACAGGCGTGCGCCACCTCAAGTCAGGCACGGGGCATATTTTAAAATCGGAATCGCTACGAAACGTGGATTCACGGACTTCAAAATGATACGTGTATTTTGGTAAGAGCGGAATTGTATGGTTGGCTATTGACTCGTGTAGACATATATGTGTACGAATAATTTTCTTTTTGGCACATGGTATACCTTTAACAAGTAGGCCGAAAATGGGGGAGGGCAACCTTCCCCAGCTGGGCGCCACTACCCGCCCCCAACAGGATCGCGCAAGCGCAGCGTGCGTCTGCGCAGTCGCAGAGCCCTTCGTGGGTTTAGCGCCCGAAGG